AAAAATAATATTTTATACATTTTTCTACAATATAGCTGTCAGTGCCTTAACCATCCCTGAAATCTATGCTCAGGCACCAGCTGCCATTCAAAGGCTCAGGGACAAAGGTGACAATGTGTCAGCTGATGAACTAGATGATTTGGTTGTCAAACTAAAGCAAGATCAGGAGGCACTGAGAATAGCCGCAGGCTATAAAGGCGGACTACTTTTGGATAACTTAATGTATTATCCTAACTACGTTTGTGTGGTTTTTGCCCGGCTCCACGAATAGTTTGATTCATTAGTTGAAATTAGTGTTTTATAATGGTTCGTATATTTTAAGTTATAATACATTTGTCGTTTATTAATGTAAATTGAATATAATTTATCACGCGCAATGTTATTTAATTGTGTATATAAGGTAAGTCAAAATTAAAATTGTAATCATTTATGCATTTATGATTAAAATTTATTATAAAGTTTATTTCATTAATGATATATTTATAATTATACTGTTAATTAAATACAAATATCTATTTTGATAATTTTAACCAATTAATTAAAATGTACTAGTAAAGTTTACAAATTATAAACCGTGATTATATTTATTAAAAACGCTGGTGGAAATACATTATACAAATAACTTATTAAAATAACAGGAACCAGGATAGTTTATCATTAGTTGAACAAATTCATCTAATAATGAGAACTAACTCTTAATTAATTTATAAAAATTTATAATTTATAATTAATTACCTATTTATAAATATATTAATTTCCGGCTCAGACAACTATTGACATGTTAAATGGTTTTGGAATAATTACCTTGATTATATAATTATCGATAAAATATTAAAGAAATTTGAAGTATTAGCTAGGTTATTTAGCAATCCCGTTCCCATACATTCCTCGACTTCTAGAACTTTGGATTCTTAGAAACTGTTGCCAACTCTTAGGTTCTGTGCCTATACTCCCTCTGAAGCTCTACTATCGATATAATGTTAAACTTATTGTAAACCTTTGAGTCTAGAATTGTCTCTCAAACTCAACACTTGTTTTTGTATTTTGTGCCGCTTTTCTAACTCTAATAAAACTCAAGTATTTTATGTGAATTGTGTGTCTGTTTCAACCAACACATCCGACCTCAACAGCCGCCGTTCCTGACCACTCATCTCAACACTTTATATTGTCACCCGTCGGTCCCGGACTCCACACCTGGCCTCATCTAATATTGGTACCGCCGCTACTCTATTGATGTGTGGTTTTACAGTCTGTTAGTCATTATAGCAAAACTCGATTTAATAAATATTTATAATTTTACAAATCGATGAGTTGCCATAAAGTTAGACAAATTGTGTTTAATATTATTAAAATACATTAATATTAAAATTAAATTGAACATATTTACTAAATAACTTGAAAAATGTACATTTCTCAAATACAATATGAAATATTACTACGTTTATTGCTTTATATAAAGTATAGCACAATAGGATGTTAACATATTTAGGTTATTTACAAATTAGGTATTTCCTAATTTTATGAATTTAATATGAATTTCCAAATAAATATAGAAATTACCATATTTAATTACAAATTTAATACAAACTATCAAAACTATTTATTTTTAGTCCAAGATAATTTATATAGTGGCATAGTTTGGTCATTTTAAGCACCAATTGGCGGGGCACCTGGTGTACCTGGTGACCCTGGTAGAATGCCACCTGGTAGGATACCAGGAGGTAGTATACCAGGTAGAGGGTATGGCAGTGGAACAGGCCTGGGTGGAATGGGTGTTGATGGTTTCGTAGGTGGTGNTACAAATTATAAACCGTGATTATATTTATTAAAAACGCTGGTGGAAATACAGTATACAAATAACTTATTAAAATAACAGGAACCAGGATAGTTTATGATTAGTTGAACAAATTCATGTAATAATGAGAACTAACTCTTAATTAATTTATAAAAATTTATAATTTATAATTAATTACCTATTTATAAATATATTAATTTCCGGCTCAGACAACTATTGACATGTTAAATGGTTTTGGAATAATTACCTTGATTATAAAATAATCGATAAAATATTAAAGAAATTTGAAGTATTAGCTAGGTTATTTAGCAATCCCGTTCCCATACATTCCTCGACTTCTAGAACTTTGGATTCTTAGAAACTGTTGCCAACTCTTAAACAATGTTAAACTTATTGTAAACCCTTTCGTCTAGAATTGTCTCTCAAACTCAACACTTGTTGCAGTATTTTGTGCCGCTTTTCTAACTCTAATAAAACTCAAGTTGCCAATCGATGAGTTGCCATAAAGTTAGACAAATTAAATATGATTAAAATTAAAGATTAAATATGATATCATAAGGTATAAATATAACTGAATATTTATAAAAATTATTAATCATTGAATTAATACATTAACAAAATAAGTCTTTAAAATCTTATATTCATATAATTTTAATTATTTGTTAAACCAAAAAAAATCATCTACTTAAAAATGAAAATCTGTGCTATATTCATTATTTTTATTATATTGTACTGTAAGTATTATATGAATTTAAAAATAATATTTTATACATTTTTCTACAATATAGCTATCAGTGCGTTAACCATCCCTGAAATCTATGCTCAGGCACCAGCTGCCATTGAAAGGCTCAGGGACAAAGGTGACAATGTGTCAGCTGATGAACTAGATGATTTGGTTGTCAAACTAAAGCAAGATCAGGAGGCACTGAGAATAGCCGCAGGGATATTTCCGCCTGATGAAAACCTATTGAATTACATAATAGGATTGATGCAAACACACCAAAAACGGGCCGAGGTGCTTATCAAACTAAGTAATCAACTTTAATCACAAAATATTACCAAGCATATATTTAAGTTATAATACATTTGTCGTTTATTAATGTAAATTGAATATAATTTATCACGCGCAATGTTATTTAATTGTGTATATAAGGTAAGTCAAAATTAAAATTGTAATCATTTATGCATTTATGATTAAAATTTATTATAAAGTTTATTTCATTAATGATATATTTATAATTATACTGTTAATTAAATACAAATATCTATTTTGATAATTTTAACCAATTAATTAAAATGTACTAGTAAAGTTTACAAATTATAAACCGTGATTATATTTATTAAAAACGCTGGTGGAAATACATTATACAAATAACTTATTAAAATAACAGGAACCAGGATAGTTTATCATTAGTTGAACAAATTCATCTAATAATGAGAACTAACTCTTAATTAATTTATAAAAATTTATAATTTATAATTAATTACCTATTTATAAATATATTAATTTCCGGCTCAGACAACTATTGACATGTTAAATGGTTTTGGAATAATTACCTTGATTATATAATTATCGATAAAATATTAAAGAAATTTGAAGTATTAGCTAGGTTATTTAGCAATCCCGTTCCCATACATTCCTCGACTTCTAGAACTTTGGATTCTTAGAAACTGTTGCCAACTCTTAGGTTCTGTGCCTATACTCCCTCTGAAGCTCTACTATCGATATAATGTTAAACTTATTGTAAACCTTTGAGTCTAGAATTGTCTCTCAAACTCAACACTTGTTTTTGTATTTTGTGCCGCTTTTCTAACTCTAATAAAACTCAAGTATTTTATGTGAATTGTGTGTCTGTTTCAACCAACACATCCGACCTCAACAGCCGCCGTTCCTGACCACTCATCTCAACACTTTATATTGTCACCCGTCGGTCCCGGACTCCACACCTGGCCTCATCTAATATTGGTACCGCCGCTACTCTATTGATGTGTGGTTTTACAGTCTGTTAGTCATTATAGCAAAACTCGATTTAATAAATATTTATAATTTTACAAATCGATGAGTTGCCATAAAGTTAGACAAATTGTGTTTAATATTATTAAAATACATTAATATTAAAATTAAATTGAACATATTTACTAAATAACTTGAAAAATGTACATTTCTCAAATACAATATGAAATATTACTACGTTTATTGCTTTATATAAAGTATAGCACAATAGGATGTTAACATATTTAGGTTATTTACAAATTAGGTATTTCCTAATTTTATGAATTTAATATGAATTTCCAAATAAAAATAGAAATTACCATATTTAATTACAAATTTAATACAAACTATCAAAACTATTTATTTTTAGTCCAAGATAATTTATATAGTGGCATAGTTTGGTCATTTTAAGCACCAATTGGCGGGGCACCTGGTGTACCTGGTGACCCTGGTAGAATGCCACCTGGTAGGATACCAGGAGGTAGTATACCAGGTAGAGGGTATGGCAGTGGAACAGGCCTGGGTGGAATGGGTGTTGATGGTTTCGTAGGTGGTGGTTGAGGTGCTGGTGCCGGACCTACCGGTGATCCAATACTGATTCCACCAGGGCCAATTGCAATTTGTTGTTCTTGCTTATTTGAGATAGCATTTCCACTACTACTGCCACCACCACTACCACTACCCTTTGATGGACATCCCTTTCCACTACTACTTCCCCCACTTGTTGAGCATCTCTTGACTGGTGTTTTGGGGGCTAAAAATTGTTTAGTAAATAAAATTATGAATTAAATTATATCTTGATCATATTTTGTGAATTTAACCTGAGATCCATTTCATAATTGGTGGACTACCCGCTAGTCTAGCATTAGATAGTGATATGGGATTAACTAGATAAATTTTTATAATTTGATAATTTTTTACATTTATTGTAATGAATTAATTTCATACATATATTAATATTCCCGATGTTATGTTCATGGTCATTTTCCAGAGGCTTTATCTCATGATCGCATTTTATTTGCAATAAAACTATTGTAGAATATTAAAAATATGCACACAGGTCATTTAATTTAATACAGTTTAATCCATACTTACAATTTATAAATGAAATAATGAATAAAATTTGCCATGATAAAGTTATCATTTTAAGGATTTATTTATTTCAAAGCTTTCTAATTTTATTTTCAATTTATATACTGTTTATGATATAATTTAAAAGTTTACCAGTTCAATAAACATATGTTTATATAAAACATATTTATATACATGTTTATATACTTCCTGAATTTTAAGTTTGAATTTAACTAATAATTCAATAAATATATATATTTATATTATTAACCCTGGTATAGTTTATTACAATCATATTTCACTAGGTTTATCCTACTGGATAGGCTATACCAGACGGGGTTGACCCTGGGACACCACCACCAGGCAAAATAGGTATTGGACCAGGCAGAGGTACTGGGTCACCAGGGGGACTACTAGGTGGACTACCAGGGCCAACACTTATTGAACCAGCACCATTGTTAAATGCAATTTGTTGCTGTTGTCCATTGGATATACCATTACTACCACCACCACTACCAGTGCTATTATTACTACCTCCAGTTCCTTTAGAAGAACAACCCTTACTACTGGTGCCACCGCCACTTGTGGGACATTTTCTTGGTGCCGGCTTAGACCTTGGTTAAAATTGATAAATAATTACTAGATTTAGTTTTATGTGATATATACCTGTAATCCAGTTCATTAGTGGTGGGACTACTGGGAGCTTGGCACTTGGTTTTGCATTAGCTTGGTAAATCATTAAATACTTTTAAAGTACTATGATAGATAATATACTGTAATATCTTACCTTTATTTTCATTGTTATTTGACACTGGTATTATATCAATATAATTATTATCCAATGTTTGTAATACATTATCACATAATATTTGAGATGTAAATACTGCAATTAAAATAATATTTTTAAAATTTTATGTATAATACATTAATTACACATCGCTTACAAGTTATGATCGAGATGAAAAATACTAATTTACAAATATGAATTAATTTAATCATGATTACTTAAAAATTATCTACTAAAATTTTATAATAATCTGGTAAAAGGGGGTTTATAACTAATTGTATATTTTAAATAAATTATCACGAGTCAAAATACCCAGGCAAATACTATTATATAACATTTATATGTATTTTATACTATCCAAGCTGTCTATTAAATAGCTATAATATTATTTAGACATACTTTTAAAAACTAATTTATTAAAATATTTTTGGATTTTTAAAAACTAGGTTAACAAATAGTCAGTTTAGTATATTTCATAATGATACAAGTACAATTATTGCAAAATGTTATTAACACCAATTTTAAAAAACAAAATAGTGAATTAAATAAAAATAAAATTAGAAAACGGTATATATTTAAATAATAAACATTATGGTCTCAAAACGTTATCATGATAATATTTCTTATCATCAGTCATAATATTACCGGGTGGTTGATAAATACATATAATAATTGTTTTAAACCATTCACTACCAGGCGCCCGACCCGCACACCGGGCACACCCTACAGCTATCGATGATTTCCAAACTAACTGGGTAAAATGACCAGCACCCGCACCAGTTTCGTAATTATAATCAGCAACCTCCCCATACCTGATAATTTAACTAGTTTAAATGGTTTTCTTTGATATATTAGTTGTAATAATACCATGAGTTAACAGCCTGTTCACATGAGCCCGTGTAATCACCAGATTGACCTATCCAGAATAAATTCTCACCATGACCTTCAAGACCTTGATGACCATGTGATAATTCTGGCGATTTTGATATCCATTGGCATCGAGCTTTGGCGTATTTGACAATCTAATATACATATAGTTATTTTAGTTTATTATAAATTAATCTGAATAAAATTAATAATCTTATTTGAATTATTGACATCTTGATCAAGGTAAAGTGGGGGTGAATGATGTTTCATCCGATACTCATTACTCTTATTAAGACAATCATTGAGGAAATGAGTGTCAGTTTTATCGTCCAGTGCTTTGCGACCGAAACAAACTGTAATTAATAAATGTTTTTGATTAAAATTGTTGATTTTATATTTAGGTGTTAAATATATTTAATAAATACCGTTAATAAAAATGAGTAATTGAACAATAATTTTAAGCATCATACTTTAATAAATTATTTTTATATAAGCAGATGACTCTTATATAATTAATGTCAAAACTATATTAGTTTAATTATTATACAGTATTATATAAGGTAATTTCCATAACTAATTTTGGTGGTGTTCCTTTTAGGTACTTCCTATCAAAGAAATTACATTAAATTGTCTATAATAGACAAAACATTACTGTTAATATAATTACTTTTATATATTGAGAGTACTATAGTTTAATACAGTATAATAATTTATTTATTTATTTTTAAAAATTTACATGTGACATTTAAACTAATAATAACAAATATTTTATAAATCAATTGTTCAAGGTTTGAGTACATTCTGGTGAAATCATATATTATTACCCCCAATCATATTACCCTGGGGTTTATGATTGCAAACAACACAAGTCTCGTACCATTTGCCTCCCGGTTCCCTACCGGCACACCGGGCACAACCCATACTAGTCCTTGATTTCCATATTAATTGTGCAGTGTCCAGTACCTTTAGAAAACCCTGATTACTAGTCTTTAAGCAAACATTTTGAAAATCACGCTCAGATTAATCTGGCATTGAATTCCTGATCACGCATACTATAAATGTATAATATATCAGTTTAAATTTAATGAATTCTAAATTGTTGCCTTCAGTCCCGTGGGGTGTCGGTGATACCGATGCTGGCCAGGGATGAGAGGTCAGAATGATGTGGTTGGGCGGTAGTGGCTGTAGTGTTGGGATGTATAGTATTACTAATTTTAGACATCAATTGAATAGAAATAGTAGTAAAACAAATGTGAAAACAATTCACAGAAAGTATTGCAAAAGTATTGATTAATCTTAATAATTACAGTTAAGGGTAAGGAATGTGTTCACATAACAAATAGTTTTAAGTTATAACATTTCATAATACACGTACATTTTAATCACATAAACATTTAACTCGCATCAAAATAAACGGTATAATTATAACCTTATATAATAAATGTTTGAAATATTATATAAATGATTGAATTCATTGTCAAATTATATTATATAAAGTGTTTATATATTGTATATAGTAAATGATTTATTAATAAATGCATAAATACGTCCAAAAACTGATTTTAAAAAATTTACAATTCAACAATTAATTTAATTATTTAAATACAATTAAGTTTTTAGAATTTTAAATGTAATTCCTGTTAAACATAGTGGTAATATTTATATAAAAGCCTGGTACTATAACAATTAAATGAAATCACTCTACATTATTGTCAATAAATAAATTTAATGAATAAGGAAAGCTTGACAATTATATAGAATTTAACTTATATAAAATAACATTTTTTAATTCATTATAATAAGATCATCTAGGATATTTTAGGATATTATTTTGAAACAAGAAATATATAATATATATATATAAATATAAGATATACAACCCATGGACAAAACTTCCTGAGTTGCGGGATGCGGAATATCTCTTGACTGGATAATCGGATTTTAATTCTGTCTTCACCAGTTTAAAGCTTAATAATCCTAATTTCTATAAATATATTTATGTATATGTGAAATCACCACGGTATAAGAGATATTCTGTTTTGAATTAAGACTAACAATTGCCATAGAAAATACATGGGAGTTTTCTATGTTTGACCCAAGTTGGGTCTAAATTTAAAAGTAGTGTATCATGGTTATTTGATAAGGTATTTTTAAAATTTCAACAGCATTCTTTTTGTGATACAAAGGCACTTCATATGATATAAACCGATTTCGCTTTATATCAAAAATCTGGTACTAACTTTTGAACCAGAGGATGTTCTAGATCAATTCTGGCAAGTGCGTTGGAAAGTTCATAAAATCAGCTGACACATTGTCACCTTTGTCCCTGAGCCTTTGAATGGCAGCTGGTGCCTGAGCATAGATTTCAGGGATGGTTAAGGCACTGACAGCTATATTGTAGAAAAATGTATAAAATATTATTTTTGTGATACAAAGGCACTTCATATGATATAAACCGATTTCGCTTTATATCAAAAATCTGGTACTAACTTTTGAACCAGAGGATGTTCTAGATCAATTCTGGCAAGTGCGTTGGAAAGTTCATAAAAAATTAGTCTAGGGCAAAATTTAAA